AAGGTCCTTTAATATATCCCTCCTTATAATATTCCTCTATTTTCCTTAAGGGAAAGTACGATTTTCGCTAAGTTTAAAAACTTACTTTTAGTAAAAAGAGTACTTATTAAAATATTCGACTTTTTTAAATATAATATAAGCAATATTATTAGCCTTTACTATAGCTACTAAAAATTAGGCTTTTTTAAAAACCGTAAGCTACGATTTATAATATTAGCCTCTTGTTAGGACCTTAGTAAGGCTTAATAAGGGTAAAAATTTACTAAGTCCCTAAATTGTTAAGTAATAAAAATTACGTATTTTAAAGTTCGTACGTAGCGATTATAAGGAGTTTTTTTTATTAATAATATCGGGTTATATTATTATTTACGTTTATATTACTAAGTAATATCGATATAAATACGGTTTTTCCTAGCCTATATCTACTTTCTCTTAGTATTTTATTAATATAAAGTAATTTTATTTTATTAATATTATAATAAAAAGGATCTTTTATTCCTTATATTATTATTTTTTAAATAGTATTTAAGTAGGTAGGCAAATCCCTTACGTATTTCGCTTAGTTATTTCTTATTAGGGGTTAGGATTTATTAAGAATATTATTACTAAATTTACTATATACTACTCCTACTAAGCTCTTTAACTTCCTCGTCCCGCTTTTTTAATATAATCTTTTTTTTATAAAGTATATTTTTACCTTTTACGTTAGTATATAAGGAACTTCTTAGTAGTATTTTCGTAATATATAATAAGTATTAAAAAAAGTAATAATATCTTATATATACTTCTTCTCTTAAGTCCTTTTATTTAATATAAACTTAGCCGTCTATAGTCTAGTCTTATACGCGTTTTTAATGTATTAAGTATTGCTAGTATTATATTTATATTAAGTTAATAATATTACTATTCCTCTAGTAGGGTAGCCTTCCGTCCCTCTTTTAGTAAGTAAATAACGAGGTAATAATTACTTATTAAATAATAAATAAATAACCGTAGTTATATATAATAAGATAGATTATTCTAGAGGCCTAAGGGCGTTAGAATTACCCTTAATCTACCTCTAAGTACTATTAAAAAACTAGTAATAATTATACTTATTTTCTCTAAGTATAAAATACGCTCTGGCACGGTACTAATATAGCTCTACTAATTATATAATAATGCACACTGTGGGTAGGGGTGGTGGTGCCAGCTTCTCACCCGTGATTGGCCAAAGATGACTTGCTTGATGAAGCCGCGCCACAAGGGGGGAAAGAGAAAGACGCAGACAGCCAGAACTCCGTGACTGCGACTGCGACCGGGGAGGTATGGCGTGGCCAGCCACTCACAAAAAAGAAGTAAAGCGGCTATTCCCCAAAGACCCGCGCTTTTCCCATTTTCCTTCCTGTTCCTTTTTTTCGTTTTTTAATTGTCCCGGAGCCTTTCTGCCTTTTACCCCCCTCCCGACTCCCGTCCTCGTCTCGCTCCATTTCCTTCTTGACCGTCAATCCACGTCCAGTCCCAGTGGCCCCGTCCCCGTCATTCACTGACCTGACCTAATACATACCCCAACCTAAGTCCAAAAGTCCCCGGGCAATCCTCGCTCCCGCCTTCCCGCCTATCCGCCCCACGAAGAAAAGCCATTTCCGCTTCGCGCAACTCGCCAATTCCATCGCGAATCCATCGCGAAACACGGTACCGCGGCCCCATCGTCCATCACTCTCATCACGACCACAATCGCATCAATCTTGCCATCTTGCGATCAAGTCGAAACTTTGCGCCACCGACCTATCGTCCCCGCTGCCTTTGAATTCATTCGTCGGGCGCGCGTCATTAGTCGGTCAAAATGGGCCTCCCGTAAGTTTCTCGCCTACCCCTGCGGCTTTCCTGGTCGCGCTGCATTACCTTTGCCTTTGCGCCTGGCCTGTGGGACGCTGGCTCAATCTCGGCCTGCCCAGTCGCATCGCGTAATCGCAATCGCTTCCACTCCAATGCCTCCATCTATATCCATCTCCTTCATCATAAATCCTCCGCACACTCTCGTTTGCGATTCGTCGACTGCCTCCAAAGACTGCCTTGGCCACGTCGTCGTCGTCCCCGCCGCCGCCGCCGAGTTGCAATCCAGTCGTGGTGAATGCAGACTGCTTCATACCCTGGCCTCGCATCCCATCACTAACATCGCATCTTCCCAACCGCAGATTGTTCATCGCTCCCGTCGAGTCAGATGTTCCCGCTCAAATCGGCGACAAGTCTGCAGCCACTCGACATCCTCGCTCTACCATTCGCCGCAGCCGCCGAAGCGACGACACGCGCCCCTTCCGCCGTCGCGCCGCTCTCCTCCGCGACAACTACCCCACTCCCGGCCCCGAGCCTATCCCGCGCGCCCGGTATCCATGGATCGAGTCTGGTCACCCTCCGCCTCCGGAGGCATATGTTGCGCCTCCCTCGCGATCGACACCTCCGGTGCCCGAGCGCCGCAATCCGGCTGCTGAAATCATCGAACGTGTAAACGAAGCACGCAATCGTCAAGCCGATAGCAATGAACCCAGCGAAGCTCGTCTGATTTCCATGTACGGCGATGAATGGGTATTGAACCGTATGCCCAGGCTCTCCAACGGGGTTACCGTCACACCCCCGACCGGGGAAGAGGATGCCAATTGGCAGGAACCAGACCGGGCCCAGCTTGAGGGCTCAACATCATACGCCAACTATAGAGAACGACGGAGATTCCGTCGGGCGCAGCTCGATCGCATGTCAATGGTAGGCTTTGTCGGATTGTGACTTAGGATTACGCTGTTGACTAACATACCAAGTAGCCCGCCCCACCAGTTGCAGCACGCTTCGACCGCAGTCCCGAGCATGCAACTTCCGCCAGGTTTGCGGGACGTATGCGTAGACCGGACTTGGAATCGCAACCAGACCGCGCATCTTTATCGCGGCGGGTACGCCGAATTCGTCCTTTTGGGCACTTGATTGAGGCTTCTCTTGCAGACGGCCTTGGCGACCGTAACAGAAGCATCAGCCCTGATGAGGATGGCGTCTGGGACACACTGTTGACTACTCTTACGCCGGACCCGCAGCCTCCAAGCGCTGGGTCGTCTTTCGCCTCTGCTTCGGCGTCTGCGTCTGCTTCTGCATCGCAATCACAGAGCGCCGGCGCATCATCTCGCACGTCTGTAGACAGACCCGAAAGGGCTGAGGAGTCTACTGAGCAACCTTGCGAATCCGGACTTGAAAACTCGGATAGTGAGGGTCATGAAGACTTGCACATGGGAAGGGGCTGGCCCGATCACTGGACGATGAACTACCCGTCCAGACACCGGCGGTTTGTCGCCGACTTGGATGCGAATGATCCGAGCAGAATATCCTTTGTTCGGGGAGACGGGGCTATGAGGGCTATGAGTAGCCGCGACATCGAAGAGATGCGAAGTCGTCGGCGACTGGAGCTCGCTCGCCACTACAGGATCGCAACTCGCGATCCCACCCCGCTACCGGAGCTGCTCGACCACATTGTCAGAGATTCCAGCGAGGAGTCCCGCGATGCAGGCGGCCAAGGGGATGGCGACGGTGACGCAGGGCCCCCGAGCCGCACCGAATCGTCCAACGACAACGCGCTGGAGGGCATGCAGGAGATTGTACGGCATCTTGCGCGGCGGCAAGACATTCCCGACGAGTGGTGGGCAGGTGCCGGGCTTTCCCGGACTCTGCCTGAGGAATCTTGAAGAAGGCGGGACTATGCATGATCTTTAATTCCACGTTTGAAACGAAAAAAGCGAAAAGCCTGGGAACTAGAAGAAGCTTCCCAAGGCATGATGTTTGGAGTACAAGGGGCTTATAGGATCTGCCATGGGCGGTGGTCAGGGTCACTGTTGGGTTTTCAACGGGCGCCATGCAGGTATCTGGGCGGGCCATCTGTATAATACGTGTATCGTGATGGAAGCGTGACGGGACAGATCCAGATCCACAGGATCTATACTATTCTTGAGGCGAGAACCATCAAGACAAAATGGAGTGGCCGTTGGTCATATGATCTTCCCGAAGAGTTCTTGTGTTTAGTTGATTGACGTGTCGTGGTATGCTTTGTAACATTGGACGTGAATACCGTAAGATGGAGGGGGGTTCAAGAAGTGATCTCCCCATGTCTCAGTCGAGAAAGTGAGACCGCGAGGAGTATGTTCATGTCTCTGCTGTTTTCTCTTTTCGGTCATCCGGCTGATGGATCTACGGATCTACGGAGTATGGGAGTCTATTTATTTCTTGACTCCAGAGCGGGGAGGGGGTTTGGGGAGCTCAGGAATGTATTTTGTGACCCAATATGGAAGACTCCGCGTTGTGTTATTTGGATGCTTGTTTGGGATAATATTGGCAGCGTGCTTGGGCAGTTGAGATGAGATGAGACGGGATGAGATTAGATCTTGGAGCATTGAAGGGAGACATTCCGTACGGATGACCAATTCAAGGATGATGACGCAAATCAACTTTGGTAAGGATAGGATCGTGAAGGAAAAAGAGTCGTGGTTCTTGGGATCTGGTGCAGACGTTCGCGGCTCGGCACGGGTTCACTGGGACTGGCCACTCACATGTCACGACGAAGGCGGCGGCGTGCCTTAGTGTGTTTTGTTCCCGCGCTGATCACCTTAACCTCAGCCCTTGGGTGTGTGTGTGTGTGTGGATGTATTGAGCGAGCGCGGTTAGTGTCATTCTTTTGTCCTTGTCTGGTAGGTGAGTTCTCATAAGCGCTTGGATGGGGCAGTATTCGTACGAATACCAAACGAGAAGAGTGTGTGATAATTAATACGGAGTAGATTCCACGAGAAATTTAGAAAAAACGACGTCAGGTAAGGTAAGGTAATGAGAGGGGGAGTTGGTGGCCCTGTCGCTGACATGGGGGAAGGTAGGGGTAGGTATCCGTATTACCGCAACGGGAATTGTTGATCTGTCTAGACGAGACACTGTCACGCCGTTACCACGGCGAAGAGCGGTTCTCACAAAACAATGCTGGTAGTCTGGGTTCCTGTATTTTACTGTTTATAGATTGTAAATCATCTGAAGGGGGGGCTCAAGAATGCAAGGTATCTATCTCGTAGGCGCGTGCCATATCTGGGGAAGATCAGGCACTGGATAAAATGTTAGCTGTCTGTGTAAGACGGTGGCAAGGTACGGATAGACATGGAGCGCATTGACCATGGAGAAGCAAGAAACCATGAAAGTTCAGAGTCAACAGCCGAGGAATTGAGCTAGGTCCACTCATGTTCATTACCTTACTATGTCGTTCATAAATGGCCAAGGCGAGGTGACGATGAGAGAGGAAGAGGGTTGAAGCTCAGGTCGGAACGTTCCTTTGGTTGTTTCCAGTTCAGGTCGGGTGCGTGTTAGCGCGCTGGCGGAGCCCTGGGGCGACGTGCGAGAGCTTCTAGCGTTGCTAGCGCGAGAGGTAGGAATGGAAGCGTGCCGGACTGCCCAGGGCAAGTCTCTTGAGGTGTCCCACCTTCCAAGGGCCCCCGCCTGCTCCTCAGCACCGATGGCACCCGGGCTCAAATTGTGGACAAGGGCCAGTTGGGAAATATGTAATCCTAGAAGCAGCCAAGACATGCCATCACACTGCATCGATCTGCTTTTCCCGGGGATGGGTGATTGTGATAATACCGTAAGTAATGGCGAGGTGGTGTTTGTGATAGTGACGGGACCTGGAGCCGTTAATCAGTTACCTCAAGGAACATTGTGCCTGAATGGACAGTGGTAAGATACCGGGTGCATCGCTGCCCTGCGGCTACCTGACCAGTGATGGCACACGCCCAGTGCCACTTCTACTGGACCTGGCCTGACCCGACCTGACGTTTCTACCATCCCTTCCCACACTTGTACAGCGAAGTGCCTTGGAGAGAGCCAAATGCGGTTGCGCGCGTCAGCACCAGCAAGTCGAATTTCTCCGGGCAGCTCTCATCTCGCTCTCCCGTCCCGTACCTTACCATTTGTTCTGGCCCAGGCGCCTGTACATGATGTGTTTGTGTGCATGATGTGCGCGCGTTGTATGTGTAAAACTACCTAATCCTAGACTCACACATCACCTCTCACAAAATACATCATTTCCCCCAAAAGCTCCAGCTTCAGCTCAGAAAGTGCTGTGCTGACATTTGTCTCGTGTGGTTTTTTTTCCCTCCTTCCCTTCTATTTGTCTGTTGATGTCCACATCGTCCCTCCCACACCCCGGGAACCCCTCCGACATCACATCTGCCAGACCAACCCACCACCCACCCGACGACTTCGCCGCCCGCCCGCCGCCCAATTCCCCGTCCGCTCATTTACTCGACCTTTGCACCCCAAACCCCTCCACCGGTCCCGACCGGCAGACCGACCGCCTCTGACCCGATCGACCGGCTGTCGTTGACGACTGCAGCGACGACGACGTGGAAACCCGACAGCAGACGGCAAACCGAATTCCTTTGCCCCTCTGTCTGCCCTACCGAATCGCGGAGCGGAGGCACTAGCTGGCTGGCCTTTGCAACCTCCCAAGGGTAGCCTACGACACCCACGATTGTTTTCTTTGTGTGTTTTCGCTGCCGTCATTTCGCACCAGTCTGGGCCTCCCGCGTTTGGGGAAATCACTCCCACCAGTTGCGCGCCCGCCCTCACGTCACCACCGCCCTCGTTCGACTGGCTTTCTCTCTCTCCTCACCCGCCGCATGCCCACTGACATTTTCGTGGTCTAAACGACTATTCGATCGCAAGCGCCAAAGAAGAACGGAGCCCAACGAACCGAGAATAACGTGCCCCGAACTGCATCCGACTGGCATGCCGTCCTGCTGCCGGGCAATGTGCAGCGCGCCCTCACTTTTGCCGTAACCGCCGCTCGCTTGAACTCACGATCGATCCTTTTGCTCGGCTTCCCTTCTTTCGAAAAGGCCAGGTCCTTCCTATACGGAGTCGCTTCTGCTTTGCGACGGTTCATGCCGACACCCTCGAAACCCCCGACTACGAGATATCAGCCTGGTGATTGCGCCAAGCTTCCCGTCCGCCGACCACCATGCCCAATCCCTCGCCGCCGTCGTCGGCCTCGTCCTCTGTCGAGCGTCAGTACCATGTAAACGGCAGAGCCGCCGTGGTTGCCTCCCGCGAGAGGAGTTCAGGAACACCGCGAAAGGAAAAACAGGGCCCAAGAGAGAGCTCCGCGCTGCAAGACCCGGGTTTGAAGGATTATGTGCGTATACCCGGCTCTGAGGACTCGTCCAAGAGTGAGAGAAGGGGAAATTGGGGCGAGGAGAAACTGTGCTTGAAGGCCGCAAAAGCTGACCAGTTTCTCGATACAGCGTCTGGGAGAATGTCTCGGCAAGGGAGCCTTTGGATCCGTCTACAAGGCTTTCAATTGGGGAACGGGCGAGGCTGTTGCCGTCAAGCAGATTAAGCTCGCTGATCTGCCCAAGAGCGAGTTGCGCATGATTGAGGTATACTCTGCCCCTCACTCGCTTGCCTTGTCGGTGGGATGCCGAGACTGACCTTGTCCTACCTAGTCTGAAATCGATCTTTTGAAGAACTTGCATGTAGGTGCTTCCAACTCAAGAAACCATACAGGGTCCTTTGAGCTAATAGTGTTTGTAGCATGACAACATTGTCAAGTACATTGGCTTCGTCAAATCGGCAGACTGTCTCAACATCATTCTCGAGTAGGTCAAGCTCCGGTTTCTGACTTCATCCGATCATAGCTGATATGTTGGCTCAGGTACTGTGAGAATGGCTCTCTGCACTCAATATGCAAGTCATATGGCAAATTCCCCGAGAACTTGGTCGGCGTCTACACAACACAGGTTCTGCAAGGATTGCAATATCTTCACGATCAGGGTGTTATCCACCGAGACATCAAAGGTGCCAACATCCTCACCACCAAGGACGGCAAAGTCAAGCTCGCAGACTTTGGAGTTTCGACAAGCACACTCGCAGGCGGGCAAGACAAGGAAGCACAGGTCGTTGGTACCCCCTACTGGATGGCACCAGAAATCATTCAACTTTCCGGCGCCAGCCCTGCGTCTGATATCTGGAGTGTTGGCTGCACGGTCATTGAGTTGTTGCAGGGCAGGCCGCCGTACCATAACCTTGCGGCTATGCCCGCGCTTTTTGCCATTGTCAACGATGACCATCCGCCATTGCCTGAGGGCATTTCACCGGTTTGCGCCCCGTGCCCCCCCTATTCTACGCCTGGGGCACCTATGACTAACACGACGTAGGCGTCTCGCGACTTTTTGATGCAGTGCTTCCAGAAAGATCCAAACCTAAGAGTCACAGCGCGAAAACTTTTACGACACGCGTGGATCATCGGATGCCGAAGAAGCGATGCCCCCGTTTCCAAGGCGCCAGCTAATTTCAGTCAAGCCGTGGAGGAAGTGAAACAGTGGAATAAGGCTCTCAAGTCGTCCGAAAGCTCACTTAGGGCGTCCACCGGTTCCGACAGCGGGGTTCCCGGGATGCAAGGTCATCCCGGGTCGAGATACAGTGCCAACGAACCACTCCGACCGAGCCTTATCACTCAGCCCAAAGGTCCTCTGGCTCTCGCGAAACCGAGACGAACACCTGAAGCCTTCAGGTCTCCAGAGCTTGCTGGTAAGCAATCATTTTGGTGTGGTTTAAGTCCGATCGAAGACGGCATATTGACTTGCTAGTAGATGACGACAATTGGGACAACGACTTCGCGACGGCCATTTCACCGAGCGCACTACACTTGCCTCATTTGAAGCCGCAGGACAACTTTGGCGGGTTGCTCTCTGCAGATAAGCTAAAAGCATTCGCTTCGCTTACGGATGCTCGCAACGACTCGGAAAGTTACGATGACGACTTTGAAGGGGAACTGTTGACTATCAAGGGGCCGGGGCAATTTACAGATTTCGACTTCCAGGAGCAGACAATTCGTCCGACACCTCGCAAGAAGAGCGACAAGTACCCAGAGCCGATGAAGCAGCAATCTCCGCCCAAGCCAAGTCCGCGAAAGGCTGGCCATGCGAGAAACCCGTCTCGTCCTAAATCTCCTGTCAAGCCGCAGCTAGGCCCCAGCAAGTTTGAGATACCAGCTCCTCCAGATCTGGCCTTCAGAGAGCAGAACACAGAAGACTACTCGGATTTGTTCATGGAAAACGATTTCAACGATGGTGGACTTAACCCTTTTATCAAAAAGGTCGACTCTCCTCAACTATTCCACCCTTCAGATCTCACGAGCCTGCCTCGTTCGACACAATCGCCCGTTCCAGGAAGCTCGAGAAGGCCGCCTAGCGCGAAGCTGCGGCCTTCAGTTTTGCCAGATCGGCCCATGCGAAGGACGAGATCATCGATTGAGATTCAAAAATTTGCCGAGGACGAAGGCGACGAAGATTTCTCCGACATTTTCGGCCCAGAAGATGCAGTCACAGAGAGGGAGGAGAGTGACAGGGGCTCAGAAGATGGCGGCCTCATGGTGTTATCCAAGTATTCCAACAACTCATGGCTCGGAGACGACGAGGACGAGGATGACCCTTTTGCTTCAATGGACCCAGGGTGGGACGAAATGGATCTGGAAGCAAATATTGCCAGGGACAGACACGCCAGGCTGGCGGGAAAGGTGGAAGAGCTCGTGCGGTCTTTGAAAACCTCGGAAGGCGAGGAAAAGCTGTGCGAGCTATCTGAAGACTTGGTAGGTCCACTCTGTCTGTGCCCCGAGAGGCGTCTTACTGACGTATGTAGCTCGCCCTGCTTTGGGAGAACACCGAGATCAAAGATCTCATCCTTAGTGCTCATGGCCTCTTGCCGATTTTGGAGCTTCTCGAGCCGTGTACAGTTAAGAGCAGGCAGCAGATGATTCTGTCTCTCTTGAAGGTCGTCAACACTGTACGTAGCTTTCCCCTTGTCGCGTAACTGGGCACCATGCTAATTCGTTGATAGATTATTTTGGACGATGTCGAGATTCAGGAAAACCTCTGCTTCGTCGGTGGCATTCCAATCATTACAAAATTCTCGGCCCGGCAATATTCCAACGAAATTAGACTCGAAGCAGCAGCGTTTGTCCGGCAAATGTACCAGACGTCCACGTTGACCTTGCAGATGTTCGTCAGCGCTGGTGGTTTGAATGTCCTAGTCGAGTTCCTCGACGAAGACTTTGACGATGCTCGGGATCTAGTTTTGATCGGCGTCAATGGCATCTGGAACGTCTTTGAGCTTCAGGGCCCCACGCCGAAGAACGACTTTTGCAGAATCTTTTCGAGAAGCAAGATTCTCTATCCTCTGGCTCTGGTACTCCACAGAGTCCTCGATGAAGAGGGAGAAGATGAGCTTTCCGAACTGATAGAGGGCCGAATTGTCAACATCTTTTACCTATTTTCTCAAGCTGAGAACTATGTCAAGGAGGTTGTCGCTGATCGGCAAGTGTTGAAGAGTAAGTCTTGTGTTAGATGAAGCGATGTCTCATTGCTAACAGCTCCACAGGCGTTTTGAAGGATTTGCGACGAATGACACCAAATCATCAGATCACAATGCTGAAGTTTATCAAAAACCTTTCTATGCTGTCTACGACGATAGAAACGCTGCACACAGCTGACGCCATTGAGTTTTTGATTGACGTTCTTGGCTACAGCATGAAGAGGGGACACCAG